ATGTTGTTTCTAGTGCATTTTAAGAAGTGACTTTTTGTTTTTTACCACCTTTTTTCCTTCATAAAATAAGTAAATACTCATGCATAAATTAATCTCAATTTATGTGAACATTATTCTTGCAGCACCTACATGTAATAAAGTAACAATTTAATTAGAGAAATTTTCATCCTGACAGTCGAAGGAATAGGAGGGAACTTTTTTATTATAAGTGTTAGTCAGTCAAATTTAAACAATAAACGTATAAGGTTCTTATTCCCTCCTTCCAGCATGCCTTCGTTGCGTAACGGTAGCACACTCGCGCGTATTCGAGAAGTCCAGGTTCGAGTCCCGGCTAGGGCATTGCACAATTTTCACTGCTTCTAAAAACCTAAAACCTCTACAGTGGCGCCCGAACTAAAAGGCAGTGAACAACGTCACCAGCAGAATTTGGTGATTGGGTGCCCTAAACTCCAGTCGCCCTTTAAAAGCGGGGTGTATAAGTTATTTTCTCCCTCTTCCCAGCATGCCTTCGTGGTTAGTATTAGGACATTCGGCGCGTATTCGAGAAGTTCGAGTCCCGATTAGGTCACTGCACAGTTTACACTTCCCCTGCTTCTAAAAACCTAAAACCCTTTTCAGTAGCCCCCGAACTAAAAGCGGATGGAAAATCATTCGTCACCACCATGATTTTGAGACTGACCCCTTAATCCCCAGTCGCCCTTTAAAGGAGAAGGTATTTTCGCTTACCTTCCAGCGTGCCTTCGTGGTGTAACGGTAGCATACCCATCGCATATTCTAAAGTTCCATGTTCGAGTCTTGGCGAGGACAGAAAACTTTTCTAAATTGAATATTTGGCTGATAAACATAATATGTTACAAAAGTTAGTTATTAAATAAATTAGACTTTTTTTATCATATCTTAAAATCATTGAGCTTCTTAATTTTATTAAACAGTTCTCGGCAACAATACTGGTTAAATATTACAATATTTATTTATTCTTTCCCAAATGTTCATTTAGTGTTAGTGTCTATGCCTTGCGAATAAATGGTAAAATCCCTTATCTAACCTCTTTTTTTAATCGATTTTTCGGAATATTTCAATGAAAAACACATCTTAATGGCTTTTATATCATATTTCGCTATTATTTCACTACGGTTTAGAGGGAAATTATATTATTAGCATTTCACTCTTCATTTTTGATAAATAATAGTAATAGTTACAAAAATGAAATCGAATATAAAACATTCATTTTAATTATTATAATTTTGTCAATACAAATTTTAATTTTAAGATATCATTTGTCACATTAAAAATCAAAGTTAATTATGCTGTAATATTTAAAATAATACTCTTACGTTATTTAAGTAACAAAAACAATATTATTATTACTACAGTAGGTGTCACTTAATGTGATGACATTTGCTAATGACTATTTGGATAACATTAAACGATGAGAAAAATAACCTTCAGAATTAAACTAGTTTTATGTAAAAATATCACGAAATATTTAAATAGGTAATTAAGAAAATGCAAAATTTTGTTTATAAAATGTTCATAATGTCTTTAACGCAAAGTTTATTTATGACCTGTTCATAACACTTTTGGAAATTATTTGACTGATGTCGTACCCCTAAACTTAATATTCGGTAGGCATTCTTTATTAGAAGAGAACATGCCAGTGTAAAATTTTAAATTAAGTAAAAAGCCATTTTCAGTTTGCCATAGATTTTTCAAGAATTTTTTCTCTTAAGGGAAAAGAAATAATTCTACAGATTCTTTTTCTCTTAAATAAGAAACACTTGTATCTGATGGAACTCAAAATTGACAATTATTCAAAATATATGTCATTTTAATGTTGCTTTTTTATTTAACATTATATGGTTTAGTAAAATTGAAACCAAGTTAATTGGCAACTTAACAACTCCTTTGGGGACATTTGTCTGTCACTCGGCTATTTTGATAACCTATATTTGGACCTTACTTCGCGAATTTATCTTTTATTTGGGGGCTTTTGATCAATTTCAGCAAATCGATACAAATAACTGAATGTTAAAATTAACCGCAATCACATTAAGTGGCTCTATTGTTGTTGCTGTTGTTATCATTATTAGAATAATATGATAAAATAATTTAAATGTTATCTCCGAAAGATGCATGCTCAGTTAATACATATAGCGGAGCACAAACTCAATTCTACACTGGCCATGGACCCTTCCCACATTATCTTCAGAGATTCGGAAAACGAGCATCAGAATTGTGTGAATGTAGTGCGGTAGGTGATGCAGATCACTTCCTCTTCAACTGCCCACAAACCGATAAACTGCATTTAAAAATGCCAAGCAGTGAATACTGGCCGCGATGGGCGGAAAATACCTGCGGTAACAAGCAGACGAAAACTAAAATGGAGGAGGTAATCAGGCTATGCTCAACAAGGTACTAAGAAATTCTCCCCTTCCCTTGAGAATTGTATCTTCGCAGCATAATTTCAATAGCAATTCAAAATACTACAACAACTGAAAATAAATACTATAAAAATAGCTCACCCTGTAGAATAGTAACAGGACTGTAAGAGCAAAACTATTGTAATATAAGCATATTACTATCCAGTTTGTAGTTACTTGATAAAAATAATATTGTAAAGCAGTTTAAATGATATTGAAAATCCAGTCAATGTGTAAATGAATTACAAGTTTACTTTGATTATCTCAGTAAAGGTATTGTAAATATGCATTCAGATAACGTTTAAATGTACACACAGCTGTCATGGTTTTATGTAACTTGTACAAGACAATTGTTTGTAATCAACATATGTATGCTTATACACAGGCCTTGTATTCCCATGTAATATTTATATTTATATTTTTACACGCAGGAAATATTCCCTTCTGCCAGGATGACTATTAACACTAAGACTTTTACAACAAAGTCAGGTCAGTGGTTATCTCAGGCGGCGCTCAGTATTACTAATTTAATGAAAAAACATGTTTTAAAATTAAACTTATGAATGCTTTTTATTAAAACTCTCCAACTAGCCAAAGATTTGACTCTGCAACTCAAGTTCCCTAAACCCTGCCATCAGAATGAGATATTTTGTTGTTTAAAATACCAAACGATGGAGGCAAACAAAAAGATATAGAAGTAGTTCTATTTACATAATGTATAAAATTCATTTTCCGTAAACAGGAAAACTATGAATTATTATTACATATTTCCTCTTAAACATAATCCGTTAGACAATCTGCGTTACATTTACAAGTACTTCATACAAAGGAAGGATCATAATTCAAAGAAATTATGATGAAGTAACCTATAAATGTAGTTATTTTGTATATTTTATTTTGCACGTCCTCGATAAACATTTATAAGCATTTATTGTCCTTTGAAAGAGAGCAAAGTGTTTACCTTCGCAATTCAATACATGCAAACATTTTCCCATATATTTCTACTTCGTGAACTGATGAGTGAGGTTATATTTTTAAAATTTATTTCCTGACAATATTATGTTATGTGCAAAAATATGTGTAAAGTTATTGAATGTTTTCAAGTCAAAACTTGGAAACAAACATCATAAATTGTAGATGCTGATAACCACAAAAGTATGCGGAAAACTACTGACTTTGATATAATGTTTTCAAGTCAAAACATGGGAATAAACATCATAAATTGTAGATGCTGATAACGACAAACTTTTCAAAGGTGGAACATAATAATTTCTGATGCACATATAAGTAAATTTTAAAGAATTTTATAAAGTATCCTACTGGAATCTTGAAGACTGGTTTATAAGTTTAATATTTTATTAAATTGACACTCCTTTTCTTAATTACATTTCTGAACTTTTTAGAGGTAATTTTTTACTAAAAAAGAATGAATTTTAATAATATCACTGAATGAGCTTGTATTTTAATAAAAACCACTATTATCAATGCTGAGTAAATGTTCATTAAATAAATAATTTCGGTACAATTCGCGCAGCCATTTTCATGTCGTTTTATTTCTGAGGAAAGTCATTTTGACAAATAAAATCCTCTTTATCGCGTTTTGTTTGCATAGTTCGTTGGAAACATAAGAAAACAGATGCGTAAATTATAACATGCAATGTAGCTTTTATTTAATTCACTTCACATTATAAGGTATTTCTCCCACCTTCTTGGCGTGCCTTCGTGGTGTGGTGGTCTGTATACTGGGCCGGTATTCCAGAGGCCCGTGGATCGATTCCCGGCGAACGCGTTGCTAATTTTTCATCTTGTCTGCTTCCAAAAAATACCTAATGTCTCTACAACATAAATAATCTCAAAACATTTTCTCAAAAGGGCAAGTATGTTAGTAATCCGTTGGAATCGTTTAATGTCTTTATAAAGTTCCTTTAGTGAAAATAGAGTTGTATAACTGCAAAATATGACTATCGTTAAACTTTTAGCCAATTTGCTTGCAATATTATTGTCAAATCAATAAAAGTTTTAGATATGTATTTATGCTTTAATTATAATTTTAAAATTATTATAAAATAGCATATATTTAACGCAAATATTTTAAGTACTTTCAATCCTTTATTATATTTAAGTGTGCAGTGTTATTTTTTTCTACTGTAATATGGCATATTTAAATACTTGTTATTTCGACAACTCGAGTACATCTTTTTATGAATTCGTGATTCATAAAGCAGCTATTGTTAGTTGCTTCATGTCAAACAATGCTCTGATATTGTACTATGATTTAGTACAGCTGTTGTATTTCAGATATTATTTAGATCGATCAAATTACTGAAATAAAAACGAAATATTGAAAAATTATCTTCGCCTTACATGAAATCGCTAAGATTGTTAAGCCTGGAAGCGTATACTACGGAGTTTCCTACATGATGTTTCATTGAATTGTTTGATCCTACATTATATACATAGAAGATATTTGAGGGACCCAATATGTTGCCTGTAATAACATATCATTTATCTCAAGTTTTGACATTTATTTCATAGAGAAATATTGTTCTTCTCGTTTCTGATGCCACGAATGTTTTTCAGGAAACTGCCAAAGAATCCGAGGCCGGTGCTGAGATGTCGGCTCTTGTGAACTATGTGCAACCAGTCCGGTTTCATTCTTTTGAGTACGCAGAAAGTATGTTCACTGTTTCTTTACTTGTCGTAAATGTAAGCTGTTGTAACTAGATCATCAACACGATAACTGCGTTCAGCTTCATTATTCACGATTGTTAAACCAACATTTATTTGCTGAGTGATCCTAATTAATGTAACTTACGTCTCTCTAAATAATTATTCTTTCTCAAAAATACTTATCTGTGAGAAATATTGAAAATTAATCTTTGCCTGTCAGAACTCTAAGCTAATAAAATTTCCGCTTATGGAAAATAAATTTATTGCGTAAGCTTTTCTCCATAACTGATTAATATGGAATATTCATACATAATAAGATAGTGTTTTGAAAAATTCAATATCTTCGAGTATTGTTACCCAAACATCAGCATTGCGACTTTATTTGCACGTGAATACGATACTTCGTAACTCATATGCAAAAACGTTACGTTAATCAAATTGCGAAATGCATTATACAGTTTGCAAATATAGTTAATACTGATTAATAATTACAGGTAAATATCACATATATAGCAAGTCAAAAAGTATATCAAAATATTTCACGAGGCACCAGATATTACCTCCCGACACATATGTTGGCAGACATTGCTTCAGATATCTGCATGATAAAAGCAAAGATATGTGATAACTTTCCACGTTTTCTAGCAATTAGAATACAAATGTGTTTTAAGCTTTATACTCACCTTGCTACCATACTAGCACCCGGTTTCCTTTTTAAGTACATCCGAACTTCAAATTAAAATAATCAATTTATCTAGGGATATCTACATTACTTCTAAGCGGGTCATCTCAATTTCTGTGTTTTTCTTGCTGATCTATGATTGAACAAATTTTCCGTATTTTCACTACCTCAGGCTATTTTCTCTGTTTACATTTCTCGAGAGGTTACTGATCTTTGGGTTTCGTATCTTAGTTGCCACACATATGTTCTCCTCAAGATTTTAAGTCTGCTGAATTAAATTAGACGACCTAACTCAAATGCAATAATTGATTTAAGTAGTTTGAATAATTACATATGTCCATGTGTCACTCATGGGTTTTTCCCAATCTTCCACAATTTTCTTGGTTCTACAATGTACACTATAACATTGTTGTATACTATTAAATAAATACTAGATTATGTTTTAATTCCGTTTAACTTTCAGTTCCAAATCTGATTTTATTTAGCTGAAGAATTTAAATGTAATCAACAGAAAAACCTATTAAATATCTTTTAAACTAAAACCTAATTAGCTCTATTTGCATATCTTTTAACTCTCTTTATCGTCAAACCATAACCACCGCTACTTGCAGAGTTTCCGCAACTCCAAGTGTATAAGACACACAATATTGCCTTCATTTTAGCATCTCGGCTCCAGGGGTTTACTCTACAACAAGTTGTTTTGAATCTCTACAACAAGTCTAACAAGTTGTTTTGAATGGTTATAGTATATTCTTGCTAAATGGTAATGGCGATCGCTATTTAAATGCACATTAATTTGGATTCTGGTAAAGGCTGACTGCAGAAAAAGATAGGGCAGAAAAGTGGTAACATAAAAATAACATTTTAGCAAGTATACATCTTGCTACATTAGCTTGAGTTTCGTTGCGATTTTAGGTATAAATGATTCATCATTCATTTCGGTAACAAGTTTTTGTTTTGGGATATTGCTTTAAATTAATCGCTTAATACACTATTATTCAAATCAGATTAATAAACCAACGGAGGTAAAGGTTAAATATGAGCGATGGGGATGAAATGTTCCATATAGGGGGATATTTCGTTACAGTCAATATTTGACTCTTGCTCAATATTTTTAACTGTGATAGGTAATATGTGATACATGAGTTTATTACTATATTTGGCTGTTGGTGTTTTCAGTCTTTATTGGTTACAACTTTAATGATTCATAAAGCTAACCTAAATGGTCTATTCGCAGATTGTCAATTTTTATTTCAGGTGATCCAGCACAGATGGTTTGACCCGAAAATGATTTTACGTCGTTTTATGAAGGGTAAAAGATGCCCCAGTATTACTATTGATGAATTTAATAAATGCCACTAAAAAGAGATAACATTACTCACAATGCTGTAACCAAATTGTTAACATTCAATGAGATGGTAGAAGATGTACAAAACTTACAGAACGAATAACTTAATAGCCTTTGTAGTTCTGGCTATTTTCATGATGTTTCAGTAAAGCAGTAGATGTCAGTAGTCTATATAATTAGTTTAACCAATGTTAAACAGCACAGCACTTTTGTTTTTGTTTCTGTCGTCGTGTCCATGATGAAGCCTATTCAAATAGTACCATGGGAGAGAATGATAGCCTTGATCGACTGCAAAATATTATCTTCGTAGAGGTCCCGTAAACCAGACTCAAATTTTTAACATGGCAAGGATGGTCGGACAATAAAAAATGTGTGCTTTTGTCAACTTTTTGTCCGGGCAACTATCACAGTTTCTATAGGTTTTCCTACCCTCTCTGTCAATTTTTAATCATCTGTGATGGCATGTTCTAAGCTTGAGTAGGTTTTAGCTTTAAGTCGAACTCTATTGATGTTATGGAATTGGTGCTTTATTTGAATTGGATGTTCCTTCAATGTGTATTTGACAATGGCATTTGTGTCCGAGAGGGTGACATTTACGTTATTATTATTATTGAAATTTCCAGCTTTTCTTGTTTGTTTATTTGCGTTCTCGTTACCTGCAATCATTGAAGAATGCAGACATTATTTAAATTATGAATCTTTTATAGGCGAAAGTGAATCCTGTTGGTGATCAGGGAATTTCCATCCAGGATTGCCTATACAGCTGTCTTTGTGTCACAGAAAGACAACGAGCCATTTTGCTTTGCACAGAAATGGGCAGGAATTTGTACGGGTCAAATGCCTTCGCTATAGCAGCACTTGCGCTCACAAATAAAAAGTACAAATTACACTAACGTTTAACATTTCATTATGCTGATAGGCTTCTCTAAGTTTGTAAAAAAAACTCATGTTATTTTCATATTTCTATGAATAATTCTGTTCCGTAAAAAGGCTTTTTTCTTTCGAAACGTGACTAAGAAAATATTTGTCAAAGTCTCGATTTAACAAAGAAACCCGTATACATTGCTGTCACCTTAAATGTATCATGAGAAGCTTTCAAAAGAACACAAAAGCATTACGTTACTTCCTTAACTTATAAGAATTTCGTTTTGTTCCTGAATTTTCAATGCCATACTGAATCCCCTAAAATGTCCTAAATAACAGTCCATTTATGTCAATTCCATTTGTCATCATATTTATAACAAACGAAGATATCAAAATCTTTACTGCTTCATTCGGTTTGAAATGAAATGCGGCAGCTGGAATGGTTTTTTAAAAACATTTAGTCCAAATTCACGTTTCAAGAATCTTTTTATCAAGAAATTATCTTTGTCATTTAAAGTTTAAAAGAGTCGTGATGCTTGTTTCCAATACGATGGTAATGATACTCATATCCTCCAACAAATAGAGTTTTCTAATTTTAATTCTTTAATGTCTTAAATGAATAAAAATGTTTTCCTATAGATGTTAGTTTTCACGTATAATAAATGACTTATGTCTAATTCTGGTACGGAAAGGGATTGTAGAATATGTCCTTGTGTTTTGATAACATGAGTAGTTAGTTTCTAGAATACCTATTTTTTGGCACTGAATGCTGATCAGTGTTCGAGTTGAAATAGAGAAAAACGTTTATTTTCTTTCATGCCATCAAAATCAATTAGGAGAAAATGCTGTCATTCAAAAAATGGATTTGAGATCATTCCTTATACAATAAGAATTCCACACGTGATTTGATATAATAGCATTTCGGACTAAACGCGTAGACCGTGAGCTCTGAGCACTCAGAAAGGACAATATTCATGGAAATTTCTGAGAATCATATGAACAATTGAATCAGTAGGAGTAAAAAGGGGCTAAGTTGTAGAGTCATTGTTGACTCTTCAAGTTGTATTTTAAAGCAGGAGATATGAAAAATGAGCAATGCCCTAGCCGGGACTCGAACCTGGAACTCAGTTCTTTCCTTCACTAAATGCTTGTTGGTCTGGCAGAAACATGGGAGGATTGCAATGTTTTTTTGGGTAAATGTATCTTATCTCAAACAGCATATAAAGGCGATGCTTTGGCTTTACATGGGTAACCAATGATAAAATGCAGCATAAACGATATCTTGAAGGTTACGTTATATTCTTTTTGATATGCCGCCTGAAGTTTTTCTGATACACATGACATTTTATAGAAAGAAACTCTGCTTTATTAATTCGTTGATTTGATCAGTGTCTACTCATGTTTTATTAAATTATCCTTTTTTTTTATTTTCTCATCAATTCTTCATATTGTAGATCTAATCGTTTCTCCTGGTGATGAGCTTAATTGTTCTATAATCTCGATTGCATGAGAGAAACAAATGAAACCGGATAGAAAAACAAATTTTAGTTTCAACAAGTGGCATGAACAGAATGCCGTTCTTGATTTGATACGCTCAGCCATTAAAAAAATGAGCAATATCGTCTGTAGTTCAAACCATCATTGCGAATTTCCTTACTAAAACTAAACAACTATTACGACTGAAAACTTTTTCTGTTGAATAAAAACCATGTTGCGGCATTTCCATAAAAGCTTCCCTCCTCCACTATTTCTATAAAGTTAACTGAAATATGTTCAACGCAACTTATTTGGTTATTTTTACAAAGAAAATATTTATATTTCAATTTTAAATCCTTCGTAAACGAAAAATGATCAATATACAAACTGGTTCCAAATATCGTGCAAACACTAGAGAGGAAGTGGAAAAATTTGGAAGTTATGGGGAGGACAACTGGGGTAGGATTTTGTACTTCCAAATTTTCAAAATCTATAAACTTACAGCACTTTATTATAGAAACAACGAATTAACAGATTAACAACAAATCCATACTTAGATTTTACCTTAAACTCAAGCTACTCAAGGTCTATAAAGAATAGACTTTGATGCATACAACAACCTACACCAGTTATAAAGAATTCACGAAAGAAAATACAATCCACGAAAGGTCCTAATTCGAAATGCGTAAATAGTTGATATTTTTCCAAGAAGAAAAATTAAATTCTTCCTAGAATGGTCTAATTAAAAATGAGTAAATTAGGGATTTTTTAACCGAAATAAAAAAATATAACCCTAGAATTACTGACTGGAAGCAAGCGTCGTTAGTACTGCCCGCATCCTAGAGGCATATGACTTGTGCAAATAAATATTCAGACAGCTAGAATAACAGTCTTAAAAGCAATTCAACATGCAATACAGAACAATATTGACTTCATCATTATAGAAGAGCCCTATTGTACAGAAGGACGTGCTGCTAGCTTTCCAGTCGTTTGGAAGATATAACGATCTGTAGTCCAGAATAATGCAGAATAATGCAGAATCCCCTCAGAGCAACAGTAATTTGCTTCAGTGTTAATTGGATCCCTATCAGTATAAACACAGGAAGAGGTAAAGTTTCGATTCTGCTGCAACTATGCTATATTCTGAAAGGTATGTAAACACACACTGATTATCTCCTAAAACATCTTACAGACTAATCGCGAATAGCTTTCCAGTCGTTTGGAAGTCGTTTGGCTGCCCAGACAGCCAAGAAGCTTTAAGGCGTATCATGGTGGACAAAGGAGTTTTGTGAAGAGAGGCAGGAATGTGAAGCACAAGGAAGACGAATAAGAACTGCAGACAACGATGCTAATAAGCTTCATTATATAACTATATTCTGCAGAGAAAGTGCGAAATAAAAAACAGACAGCTCACAACAAAAACCTTCAGCTGAAGGAAATCCTATGCGAATATGACATTCTATATAGAATAGCATCAAAGTTTGCTATCCTATGCAAATTTATATACAGCCTACAACTTCAGATGATTATGTAAGCTAATGGTAAAACACATCAAAACCCCTTTTTAAATACACTTTTCCCGAAATTGATCTACTTAAAGGCACCCCAGCCCAACGCCTTCTCCGAAAGAATACTGCAATTCCATCATAATCATACAATAATATATCCTTCACTAACAATTAAATCAAACAAATCTTTAGAAAGCTCTCAAACAAAAATGTCCCAGAGCTTCTTCCAGAGAGGATGGCTGAATTACCGTATCATTTAAATTGCCTATAAAGCGATTCCAGCCTACTTTCTAAAATGTTTTAATAAACTCATACAGTATCAGATAGTCCCCCAAAGTATTCAAGACCATATAAGAAGTTCTGTTTCTTAGAAAAATATGAATTTTTCTTGGACATAAGAAAAGATTGCACACAGTGTTCTCCGGAATGTCTCTTTTCGAACCTTACTTTCAATTCAGTGTTCGATGCTAAATAGCCAGATTACTCCACTACCTTAGCCTATGCTTACGAAGCGATCCTCTTAGTGAGAGGACGAAATTGAGATGGATTAGAAAAACATAGTACTACTGTCTGTACCCTAATTTGAAAACTCTGCATAGTATGAAGCTTAAAATATCCAGAGAGTAGTCTGCTGCTCTAATTATTCCTAAAGTATGTACAAATCCTACAAGACAATTCAAAAAAGCCCTTTTGATAAAGGCAGTCCAAAAAATGACAAAATTAATGCGATTACGATGCAACAGGAAGAACAATGTATGACGTTTTGCCAAAAGTCTCAGATGAACGTTTTAACAGCAATTCTACAGTTAATACAATTTATAACGGGTCAGGATCCATTTCCTGTACACTACTTCCATAGGTTCAATATCTCAGAAACAAACATCTGCGTCTGTAGAATTGAAGCTTCCCCATAAGAATATATCTTCCAATGCACATTGAAAAACTCAAATCATCTCGCTAAATAACCATCTACGACCCAGCATACAAAATATTTATGTCGAAAAATTGTACAGCAATTAATAAAACTTTTAGAAGTATCAACGGAAGTTGATACTTCAAGAGTTGGGGCAAAATAAGATATATGCATGTTAAATTAAAATAATCATTATCATAAGCTATCATCACATAAGAAGTTTTATTTTATATTAAATGTTTTTATTCATTTATTTATTTACTTTTAATTATTTTATTTCCCCATAATCTTCTGAATTTTCTCACTTTTGACAATGCTTAACATCAACTGAATATGATAAAAATTAACTTATGAAAATTCTAAATGCTGTTAAATACTTTAAATCATGAACAGATAGCTATACAATGCAGAAGAGCAATGCAATAATGGCAAAGCAGCAGTTTATATATATTGTTTTATAATTCTTTCCATACTTTGGTTACTTTTATGTTGTATGTGTACATGGCATGTTATGCTTTGTTTTATGGTGCATGTATAGATGTTATATTTTATAATTCTATGAGCAAGCCAAAGATACCACTCTATACCACATATACACCAATGTGACCAATGGAAAACCATTATTTATGTAAATCTTACGCTTAAATAGCACAAAATCCCGAAGCAGCACTCTTGTTGCTCCTGGAAGTTGTCGCTTTGGATAGGAGAGCGTGGGAATGTACACCTGTTTACCTATCTTAAAGACATCAAGTCGCCCCGCCCTCCATCACCAGTTACCAGTATTTCCCACATTACAATCATTGTTGCACATAAAAATTCTTACCAGCACGGCTTACATAGCTCATTTCAGTCAACCTAACGCTAATTATTACATTCTTCTTGTAAAGATCTTGATTATTTTGCTGTTTTCGCCCTCGTGGATTTCATTTGATTCAAATGATTCGGATTCCGTTATAAATTATTAAAATAACTCCCAAGCAAGATCACAATAGGTTTTTGTGACATAAACAGCCAACCAGTAAAAACAAACCAACCGGATCACAGACTGACGAGGGCAAGAGAATCTCACGAGTCTCTGACTGCAAAATAAAAAAGTGTAATGTGAGGGATCATATGTCCCCTTTTAACGACTGCAAATTACGACCTTCCGTTTCATTCCCTAGTCACTGTGCTGAGAGCCTTAATATTTTCGCAGTAAACTTGGTGTAGAGAAGCAGCTCTGCCATGAATCTCATTTTTGAAAAAAACAAATCCCATAACCCCTTTTTACATCTACCCTTTCAATTGCACCACAAATATTACATATGAAAATACGATATATGAGTTCTTTCTTTAAATTTTAACCCAATTTATTATAAAATTCATCATGTTTCATAGAACTAAAAAAATCAAATTAAGTTCTTTACAAATTGTAAACAGAATTACTCAGCTTACAGGGAGGAAAGAATAGGAAATATAATATTCAGATTAAATGGAATTGCTGAAGCATTTCCCAGGTGTTATTCAAATATATATCTGGATAGAATAAAAACTATTGCCATAGTAATAAAGAAATGATGTTTTGCTAGTTTAAAAAAAGGATGAACATAAATATTTTTAAATGACTATTAATGTCTTAGTTTAGATATTTTAATTTAATATATGAATATATTTTTTCCAGGACGCAATAGAAGTTACGAAGTGTCATCTTTCGTAGAGACCCATGCAACCAATCTGCTCAAGGAGCACCCAGTAGAATTTGTGAAGTATCCTTTGATATTTGTTTCTTTACTGGATGACAACGTTTCCCGCTAGTATAGGAAACCTTAGTGGAGTATTAATAAAACAGCAATATTAATAAGCAGAGCATTTAAGATGATAAAATAAAACATACTAACAAATGCCATTCAGCGGATATTTAATACAATACTGATAAAAAGTTCACTTTCTTGAATAAAATGCAAATAACACGCATTCATTAATTTTTTCTACATCAGTAACAGCAGAATACTTTTGGAAAGCATTATGAGTTTGGGAGTGATCAAACGTTTGAAAATATATTGTACTACTCAGCAATATATTGCACTGTCATTTTATTCAAGCATTTAATCCTAGTATTTATCCAAGTATTTAACTAAGATTTATTTCCGTGTTTGTGAATTTGTGTTTGTGTTTACTACTAAAAATTTTGTACAAAGTGTAAATAATTGAACTCACCATGCCTACCACTGTGGATCCAACCATGTTGGCTAGTACCGGTCTCGTGATACTCATACCCTGAATTCTGAAGAATTAGATATTATTCTCTCGAATCTCTCACTGAGCAGTTTTATGTTCTTCAGTCAGGACTCAGATGATTTTCATGACTTAAAATTGAAATTTTTGCTATTATGTTAGTGTACGCCACCTTGACTTGCCACCCTAAAGCTCTGATTGCCTGATCTCTCAGACTCTTATTTTCGCCTTCGGGTGAGTGGCGTGATAGCGCTCTAAATTTTTCTCCAACCGTGATTGGCCATATGGTATGTTCGAATGATCAGGTTTAAACTCAGGTTGATGCTTGTAGTGAAAGTAAAGCATAAGGATATATTGCATTGCTCAACAAAAAACTGGATTTTCGAAAATTTAGTTCGATGTGCTATATTTTACGATATATAAATATTAGGAAAATTAAATTCTCCTTACCTAAACAATCGATTGAGATTCAAGTCGAACGCTGAATGAATTCCATTCGATAATTATTAATTAATTTATAGGGTTTCAATTAGCCGGTAAGGCTACTTAACTTCTATAACCCTAACAACAGTAGGGAAGCAAGTTTATCTCTATGTCCGAGCACAAAGTTTGCAGAGGGTTATAAGTTTTTTTTTTATTTAAACAGAACTTGGAACAGATGTGCACACACTTCTGCTACAATAACAACTCGCGGTGATGAAAATAAATGGAACAAGTGACAGGTGAGAGCGGGTCAGGACGCCAGAGCGCCTTATATGGACTATTCAGGTATCATCCGGAATCCGCAATTGTACAACACAAGAGCTGTTTGGCGCCCCAGGAGAATAAATAGAACAGGTGACAGGTGACAGCAGAGTCCGGACACCCGGGCGGCTTTCACTGACTATTCAGGTATCTTCCGAATACCGCAACTGTCCAGAAAAAGAATATTGCAAACAGGGGCAGATTGTGGAAGACAGGTGTTTTGAAGATTCCTACAATACCAATGCTTATTATACAATATATGACAATATAAAGATACATCAAAAAGTACTGTTAGTATGTTGAATTACCACAGTAGTAATACATCGTTTTACATTATACATGAATATTGCACTATTATAATAATCAATGCAGGGGCGATAAATTAATACATACAATAATAATATTTCCTGAACTCTACAGACATTGCACAGCGGTATCAATGCGCATTGTATAACCTATAACTATATATATTATACATTAATATTACATGTATACATTCAATGCATTCATACATACATAACATAAAAGGTGCATTCGATATATAAATACATTATACATTAAGAGTGCACTCGATATGTTAAAACATACAATAATAAAAGTACCTAAATTCTACAGACATACTGGAGAGCAATACCAGTGCGCATTATGCAACTTATAGTTATATACATTATACATTAATAACACATGCATACGTCCATTGCAATGATACATACATAACATAAAAGGTGCATTCGATGTATCAATGCATTATACATATACAATATACATTAATAGTGCACTCGATAATAAATAGAACAATCAAATTTAAACTAAGGTTGAACAGTAGGCAAAGCCTACACAATTAAGTGCTGAACTAGAAGTTGGCTCAATAACTTTGCCTGCGCTTCAGATTTAAAATGTCGAGAGTCAGACATAGCAAAACCGAATAATAACAAACATTTTAGTTGACGGGAATTAACCACTCACGCAATACCAGAAACACTCACTGTTTCAAAACTAAAAACCTTAGTTAAAATCCTCACAACTAATTTTCGTTCTGGTGAGGAATATGAAAAGGAGACGTAAAGACTGAAATCCTAATAACTCTTTAATTAACATAAGATACCCTACAAATTTTCCTCCATCATTTTAATATGTGGGATAGACATTGAGGGAGTTTAATTTATAACTTTACATTTCAAATCCTAATCAGTTTCGAGTGTGTTTGCCCGCAATCTGGGAAGTGTCATTTATGATTTTCATCTTTTTTTAACCCACTACTGTCTTTCTCAATGATAAAGTTTGAATTTCTTTGCCAAAATATAACAAATTAATCGTGTGTATTTTGTGTGCATCCTTTAAGAGTGAAAGAGATTTCAAAAAAAAAAAAAAAAAAAATCCGTTCTCCCCAAAGGAAAGGTGCTATTTCAGCATTAATGAGGAAAACGAAGATAAGCATCAGTTTCTGTTGCATCTTACAATGTACATCGAAAATACAACTATTTCTGGTTTGTTATTTAGCACACAAATTTAGATCAAACATAAGTTCAACTTTATTCGTTGTTTCTACATACTTTACTCTAATTTTAAAACTTGTGTCTTTTCAATCGAAGGAGGATAAACTAATTATCTAAACTCGATTTCAGAATTTGTCGAGTTATCTTTAGAAATATACTTTTAATATTATTTGTAATTCAGGTTTTGTATGCTTAAATTACTCCAGAAATCATATTAAAATTCGCATTTTTGATAGGAAAATTTGAAATTTTTATGAAGTCCTTTCTAATGAAAACCAATTAACGTGTTTTTCTGTTAGCATTGTCAGACAACACTAAACAATTTTGCTGAATGAAAATGTGAAAACCTGATTCATAAAACTCGTGTATGTTATTCGTTAATAAATCAAACAGTCACTGATTTAAGGATCAAACAAATACTCAGGTTAAGTTTGTTCCAATTTCTTGCTAAGCCGCCCATTCACTTTCATAAGCTTTACAAAGCATTATGCTTTCAGAGAATTTGAATTGAGCATTATAAAACTACATAACGTGTTATTATAAAACAATATTCACAATTATTTTTTCATTGCATGTTTCAAATGATGAAAGTCGTCAAAACAGTCAACAAAATAAAACTATTTTTCTAATTTCTATCCATATCCTGCAAATATATATTTCATTTAACTGCATAATAATGATTATTTTCAGGTATTATATTTCAAAACAGCTGTGTTTTTAATTAAAAGAAATTTTGTCTTAACTCTAAACTAGCTATAATAAAAGGCAACTAAGTAGGATTTATCCCAAAGGTACTAGAGTGGATTCCAGCAATTACATGCCTCAGGTAAATACTAAAATTCTTCGTAATTATTTTATTTGAATACAAAGTATTCAACTTGAATTTAATATATTGAATAAATTAGCGCATTAAAAGTTTTATCGATTTATGTTTACAAAAAACAGAAAAACGAATGATATTTTAATTGAAATCGAACGTTATTTGAACTTTAAAAGAAAAAGAACTCCAAACTTGTAAAACTATCCAAAAGAATAAATAAAATATGATTCTGAATAGCTGTGTATAACTTTGAATAATAAATTATTTTCTTGAACATTCTAGATACTCATTCGTAAAGGAAATTTGCTAAGAAAGAAATGATTTAAGTGTGACACTTTAGTGTCACAAATCTAGTATTTAAGACGATCATATGAAATATGTGGCATTAATATTTTATTTCATATATATTAATTATATACATAAAAACCGAAAAATAAACTCAGGTCTAAAATACGTGAGCGTTTAACAATTGAATAAATGTATCATAATGAAGTTTTGAAGAACGTATTACGAAACGTGAGGGAGACTATAAACGTTTGCCAAAACCAGATAACTGACTTCCAGAAGTTAAGCACGCGACGGTAACATCAACAAAAATGGAAAGATAAAGCTTTGATTAACACTAAATTGTACATAAACGTAGTAGATGTTCATGAAAGAAAACAAACATTCATACAAAGATGAAAACAATATTAAATTTTCTTGAATTATAAAATGACGTCACATTTGGTTAAAAAATTAATGTTTTATGCTAGAAATAAACAAACAAAACGTACATTAATAAACGTACATTAATTACTGTGACCATCAAAATCGTAAAAAACAACCTTATATTTAGCGTAGGTATAATGAAACACTCAATCGATTTCGAGGGCAGCTAAAGGTCCCTCCTCATCAGGAGAAAGAAATACATAGGAAGAAGAAAATAGGAATCACAGAAACACGTGGTGCTTATCAGCACTGCACGTGGTTATAACTAGATTTTTAATCAGAGTTGCACTAAATATAAGGTTGTTTTTTACGATTTTGATTGTCACATTAGCGTGTTTCTCTTCTAGTCTAGTTTGTGCTATCAACCGGCATTTTCGAGAATATTTTTACTGTTTATTGTTTTACCACGTGCACCATTTTATTTACTTCTTTCCACGTGGCCATCATTTTTTCGGATTTGGTTTATGCTATCAACCGGCATTTTCGAGGTAATTCTATATTTTTTCGGTTTACCACGTGCACGATTTTGACTTTCGTTGCTTCTTTCCACGTGGCTATTGGTTTTTCAGTATTGGATGTTTCTCTCCTTTTGGAATGTTTTTGTCATTTGTTGATGAAAATTGTCTTCATTATTTATTGGTGTTTTTTTCATGTTATAAGTAATTACTTGTTTGGACTTTCGGAATTACATTTCTTTTTGTTCACTTGTTTCTTGCTTGTGCCCTTTTCACAATATGTCCACTGACAGGAACCGATTTTGTAAGTTACGCGTTAAGCGTACGAAATTCTTGAATCATCTACAGTTTCTACTTAAATGCAAACATCAAAATTTCACTTCCCAAATTTATACATGTGAAATGTAGCCTTAAAGCTTCCGTTCACGTTTCAAAAATTTTGCATAAAATTCAAATTGGCACTTGTTCGTCACATTATAAGGGACACACGCAAACGTTTATCTAAAATTGAATTTGAATTATATTACCTCCATTTAAAAATTGCTAATTCCACTGAAAATTTTTTCCTCATTTGAACATACATCCTGGTCTAGAACCGATACCGTTTGTCAACGGCATAAAAATGTGCTCATTTCTAAATTCCAAAAAAACTCACACCACCAGTCGGATAGTCCCAATTATCTAGCTGATCTTCCCACTGTAAACGTTAACTCCATCGTTAATATCTCCAATAGGAATCTTTCGGAGGATCAGTTAAAAGTATTAAAATAATAATTTCAACTTTTCAAAGACATCTAAACCTTCAATTCCTCAAATCATCGCCCCTATAGAGAAAGCCTTTAAAATTCTCCAAAATTTCGGAAACGCAGAAGGATACAATCCGCCACCTAATTACTCATAACGTTAATTTTAACAATAAATCTTTGAGTTCTCTAATCTTAGCAAAAAGGAAAATGAGATCTTACGTGAAATTAATTCTGATACTAATATCATTATCTCTAAAGCTGATAAGGGCGGACAGATCGTTGTTATGGACAAACACACATATATTACTGGAGTCTCTAAATTGATAAATGAAGGCCCATACTGCTCGATCCCTAAAGATCCTTCAACTTCGGACCTCATGAAAGTAAAAAGTGCTATTAAATCTTCCCACATTCTGCCAACTCAGTTGAAGAAATCACTTATTCCGCCTATTACTAATTGCGCTAGACTTTATGCTCTTCCAAAAGTCCACAAAACCGGTATTCCTTTTTCGACCAATTGTTTCCAACATAGGTACTGCTTCATATCCTTTGGCCAAATATTTAGTTTCCAGATTTTCTCCTCTACTTGATAACAATATTCACACTGTAAAAAATTCTGTTGAAGTCATTGATAAACTTAAAAATATTTCCCACTTCGTTCCATTATGGTTTCATTTGATGTCAAATCATTGTTTACTAATGTTTCCGGTCGAAGGAGCACTAAATTGTCTTGAAACTAGGCTTCGGGAATTTCACTTCACACATACTGAATTAATGAGTTGGTTTCGCTTACTAAAGTTTCTCTAAGTCAAACCCACTTTGTTTTCCAAAATGCATATTTTCGTCAAGTTGAAGGATTGGCTATGGGTAATCCTCTCAGTCCGGTACTTGCTGACATTTATATGCCACTATTTTGAGATGAAATTATTTGATAAATTATCTTTTCGTCTTTGGATTCGGTATGTTGACGACACTTTCGCACTTTTTGACGGTTATAAAGAGGATTTATCCGAGATTCTATCTATTATGAATTCAATTGATCCAGCCATCCAATTCACTCTTGAAATTGAATCCAACAATTCCCTCCCCTTCCCGATATTCTTAATCCGCAATGAAACCGATTTTAGCACCACTGTGTACCGTAAACCCTTTGCAGTTTGTTTATCCACCCCATGCCAAGTCATGCCACCCTGTTAAGCAAAAAATGGCTTCTTTTTACTATTATGTTTTCCGCGCGCTAAAAGTTTGTTCCTCTGAATCTTTGCTTACCAATGAACTTAATTATTTGAGAGCAGTTGCGATTGACCGTGGATTTTCTCTCGTGATTATTGATAAAGCCGTCAAAAAATTTTCAGATTCCCATCAAAGAAGACATTCCACTGTTAGAAATAATATCAATGACCTTGTCGTGCTTCCATTTTATCTTTCTGTTAGCTATAAAATTGCACGGATTCTCCAGAAATTCAATTTTCAAGTCGGTTTCTCCCCTATTAATAAAATTCATCCTTCGATTCTAAAAGATTGCGTTTCTGTCTTGAATTCTTGGGGAATTTATAGTATATCATGTCAGTGTGGTTTAAGATATATTGGCCAAACAAAAAGAGCGTTGAAGTTTCGTATCAAGGAACATGAATCTTATGTCAAAAAAGGGGAAATTAACAAGTCTTCAATAGCGCGTATCATAGCTGGACTTTTAACCATAATTTTGATTTTGGGTCTGCAAAAATCATCCAAAAGGCTTCTTCCATAGGCGAATTGGATTTTCTTGAGGCTTTTCACATTCACAAAGATTTAGAAAGTTTAGTTAATGATTTGAAGTCCAATCCAGTCCTTCCTAATGCCTTTAAAATTCTACTGTCTCAATTCAATTATTTTTGCCGATAGATGGCGTTACCTCCTCGCACTTGGTACTACCAGAGGGTATAAAAATCCGTTCAGTGGTTGCTTTCCATTATTTGAAGTTCAGATTTTGAGCGTAATGTGCATTTGCCCCTCGCTCCCTATTTTAACTTCGCTAATATTTCTTTATGCTTGATCAGACAGCCTGGCTCAGTAAAAGTAGGCGGCCAGTGCAACTCTGATTAAAAAATCTAGTTATAACCACGTGCAGTGCTGATAAGCACCACGTGTTTCTGTGATTCCTATTTTCTTCTTCCTATGTATTTCTTTCTCCTGATGAGGAGGGACCTTTAGCTGCCCTCGAAATCGATTGAGTGTTTCATTATACCTACGCTAAATATAAGGTTGTTTTTTACGATTTTGATTGTCACATTAGCGTGTTTCTCTTCTAGTCTACTGTGACCATCCCTAACTTCACCAAACTACAGCAATTTCCCATGTTTTCATTGAGATATCAACCATGGAAGATTCCAAAAATGGCAATTCCTCCATTGGGACAGTTTAAAACTGTTTGAGCCTGGCTGAAGGAGGAAACCTCGCACAGATAGCACACCTGAATACAGCCTAATATTTTCAGTAGGATTAATATTGAATAGAATACGGCGGCCGCTCCACATGAGAAATGCGCTCACTGTCCTGGTACTCGTCAACGATACTGTTTGGATCGCTATGGACACTATCATACATAAGAAAGAAATCAGGGCTAACTAATGTAGTAGTCTCGCAGTCGCCTCTAGCTCTTGATACTGATACCGCAAGGCCGGGAAAGAAACGGATTTAAAGATGTGCAGCTCTGTGTAATATCCCATTGAAATTCAAACTCATACCATGAGCTATATGTTCTGGGCCTGAATCCATGAGCCTCGTTCTTTCCAGACTCTTACACGCTTATTATGATTTCAGGGTAAATCTGGGTTACTAAGTAAATAGGGCGTAATGCCAGTTTGGGACGATCTGGTTGAGATGTTGACAGCACACTTGAATCTTTCCTCTGTGGATTGGGTAGTTTAGATAACCACAAACATTTGGAACTGAGCATACAATCTTAAGTAGCACATGACGAACCAGTATACCCAAGTAGCACACGACGTTGTAAGGACGTTGCAAACTGGTCCGAAAGGTTGCAAAGTGGTCGTGGTCTTTACAACGTAGCGAGGGCGAAAAAATATTTTCCGTTGCATCTTGGCAATTTGTT